TCTCTTTACTATTAATATCGGCTAGGAGTAGCACTAGTAAGCATCAATATATAGTCCGGCGGTGCTTGCTGCATGTTTCCACTCAAACGCATTTATAATATTTATAGCAAATTACAGCATCCTCAAGATTCGTATTCTGGACCTACAATAAAGAAAGGTTGTATTGGGAATAAAGATCCGCACAATGGTAAAGCAGCCTCACCCGCCAGCTCCCCCGGACATACTCACCCGCCTTTTGGCCACGTTCCAGCCAACCAGCATCACCAAGAAACACTTCTTGCAATTCTCAGTTGCACCATATAAGTTAGACAATGTAATAAACAAGCACATACGACCACAGGGTGTGGAAAACAGGGCTTCCCGTCCGCTCAGCCGTACTTAAGCCACACGCCGGGAGGTTAGTAGTTGGGTGGGTGACCACCAGCGAATCCCTTCTGTTGTATGTTTTTAATCATTTTTTTTTGGCTTCTTTATCCTAAGCCCGACTTATAATATGAAGGTTGACCACTAGATTCAACACTAAATTACGATTGGGTGTGGCTCGGGGTGTCGTTGAATCTTGGCTATGCAGGATGTGAGTTTCCTCTGATCGCCACTGCCTTACAAAGAAGTAACTTTGGCCTAACCATCGTCGTGAGTCGGACTTGGAAGACAACTTGGAGGATGGTGCTTGGTGCGGAACGTGCAAGACATTCTTGTCTTGCTTTTACTGACTATTGACTGTACACGAAACTCATATCTTCGCCTCTGACCAGGGGATATCATTGGCCACTGGATTTCCATTCACCCTACCCGGGGTACATCCAGATCTTCCAGGAACTGATCAGCAGCAACCCTTCAGCAAGCATATGGAAAGCGGTTGGGAAGCCATCAGTGACAGTTTTGCCGTCCGCTTATCGGTAATTTCTATGGCCCCTGAACCAATCTTCTCCAGTTTTACCAATTAGGCTTTGCAATCTTGGGGCGCATGCGAGGCTCACTGCATAAGGAAGGGCAAGTCACCTGCATCTTCAAGGATAGTATCCACTGTGAGACCCTGGTCAGGTAAGAGCGCGGCGAATGACGACTCAGACTATCTCTCCGGTGCGTCCACATTGATTTTGATGTCTTGTCTGGTGCAATGCTGCCGTATCTTACTCGGCAGGTTCCATTAGACTGGTAAGGAGATGCGGCGCTCGAAGATGGACAGTGAACTCTGTTATTACAGATGCCTTCTATGACTGGGCTTTATCTGAGTATCAGCCCCATCACCGAGCAGCGCGAATGTATGGAAGTTGCGTCTGAATGGAGTAATGTAATTTGTTTCTATGTGTTATTAAATAGGTATATTATTGTGTACTTGAGGGTCTTCTTCTATATATATATGATAAGATAATTGTTATAGACACCATGACATTTATTTGGTTCCTATAAGTATCTTTCCTACTATGTTGAACAGTCGCAGCCGCAGCCGCGGCCGCACGACGCTCGGACCGCCATGTATGAGGCCTTCGCTTTCGGAGTTTGGCCCAATGACATTTCACATCACCTGCATCCCTGCCTGGCGGCGGGCCTTTTGTTGTGTCGAGTCATCGATCCATCTGGAAGGGTTTCCTTCTCTCACCACCCATTACTTCCTCGAGAGTCATCGCCATGGCTGAACTCACAACCCGCAACGGCGATCCTTTCGACCGTACACTTTTTGAGTCACTTTTGAAGCGTCGACTTTTCTATACCGAATCTTTCGAAATTTACCGAACCTCTGGAAATCTCACAGGCGATAGCAGGGGCCTCTACGATTATGGACCTCCAGGGTGTGCGCTTCAGTCGAACATTGTGGACTTATGGCGGAAACACTTCGTCCTTCAGGAAGATATGCTCGAACTGGATTGCACAATTCTAACACCTGAGGAAGTATTCAAGGCCAGTGGTCATGTCGATAAGTTCGAGGACTGGATGTGCAAGGATTTGAAGAAAGGGGAGTTCCTAAGGGCCGACCACCTTATCGAGACGGTTCTCGAGGCAAGACTCAAGGGTGATAAGGTAGCCAGAGGCAATGCTGTTGAAGGTGACAAGGCCGATGGTGAAGGAAAGAAGAAGAAGAAGGGTCCTAAAGTGAACGACATCAAGGCGATGAAGTTGGAGGATGCTGTCGTTGCGGAATACGAGGAGGTTCTTGCTAAGGTATGAGCAGATAAGGGTTTGCCGTTCCTTTCTACTACTTATCTGGGCTTCCTAGATCGATAACTACGATGGATCCGAGCTCGGCACGTTGATCAAGAAGTATGACATTCGGAACCCTGATGGAGACGCACCGGTATCACCACCCGTCCCCTTCAACCTCATGTTCAAGACAACTATCGGGCCCAGCAGTGCTTCCCCGGGATATCTCCGACCAGAGACAGCCCAAGGCCAGTTCCTAAACTTCAAAAAACTTCTGGACTACAACCAGAACTCGATGCCATTTGCGTCTGCCTCTATTGGAAAATCATTCCGCAATGAAATTTCCCCTCGTTCTGGCCTGCTCCGCGTGAGAGAATTCCTGATGGCTGAAATCGAGCACTTCGTCGATCCGGAAGGTGGAAAGAAGCATCCTAAGTTTGACCTGGTCAAAGATCTGCAACTCAGCTTCCTCGATCGCGCAACCCAGCTGGGTGGTAAGACCACTCTCCAGAAGACTACAATCGGAGAAGCAGTGGCCAGTAAGATGGTAGATAATGAGACACTGGGATACTTCCTGGGCCGCATCTACATCTTTCTGCTGAAGATCGGCGTCGACACGAATAAAGTCCGATTCCGTCAACACATGGCAAACGAGATGGCCCATTATGCTACTGACTGCTGGGACGCCGAGCTCCAGACCACTTACGGCTGGATTGAATGTGTTGGATGTGCGGATCGCAGCGCCTACGATTTGACCGTCCATTCCAGGAAAACAAAAGAGCCTCTCGTCGTCCGTGAACCTCGGCGTGAGCCGCTGAGAGTAGAAGAGTGGCAAATCGACATCAGCAAGCCCAAGCTGGGACCACACTTCAAGAAAAACGCCAAAGCTGTGGAAGCGGCGCTGATCGCGCTCTCTCAGTCTGAGCGGGAGTCCCTCGCTACGATTTTAGAAAAGAAGGGTGTCATTACAGTCACTGTCCCCGAGATGGCAGAACAGGTTGAGATCTCCAAAGACTTGATTAGTATCGTCAAAAGAACGAGAATTGAAAACATCCGCGAATACATCCCCAATGTTATCGAGCCATCATTCGGCATTGGGCGAATTTTCTACAGTCTGCTGGAGCATGTTTACTGGCATCGTGCTAACGATCCCGCGCGTGGTGTATGTCACTCCTTCCTATAAGCTCAGCCGGACTACCTTTTCTGTCCTATCTCATCTTGAACTAATGTGTTGCATCAGGTTCTGTCCCTTCCCATCTTGGTGGCACCCACAAAAGTTCTCATCGTCCCACTCTCCACTCACCAAGACTTTGTTCCCCTAACAGAGAGAATCACTGAGGATCTCCGTGAACTAGGCATATCTTGCCGCGCTGATGAGTCCTCTGCAAGTATCGGAAAGAGGTATGCCCGGAATGACGAATTGGGTATCCCGCTTGGTATCACGATCGACTTCGACTCTGTGAAGGATGGAACGATCACGCTGCGTGAGCGCGATAGTACAAAGCAAGTCCGCGCCTCTAAAGAGGAAATTCTCGGTGCTATCGAGTCTCTCATTAGCGGTAAGGTGAATTGGGAGGATGTGTTTGCGAGACTCCCTGAGTTCCTGGGCCAGAGCGGAGATGATTAAAACTACTCGTTATTATCTCAATGACGCACAGAATGCTTGGAAGTCTCTCTCATCGCCATTAAGGGACTTATACATGGGCCTGACGGGTTTTCTTCAAGTTTATTGCTTTTTATGCTCTTTCTTGGATCCACATAACCCAGCAGAAAACCTCATGCTTGCCTCTCTACTCATCGGCTGTTACACTATGGGCTGTTTAGACCCCTTTCTACCTCCTGCGGCGGGTTGGAAAGAGGGATTGGAACAAAAAAGATCAAAAACATACAACAGAAGGGATTCGCTGGTGGTCACCCACCCAACTACTAACCTCCCGGCGTGTGGCTTAAGTACGGCTGAGCGGACGGGAAGCCCTGTTTTCCACACCCTGTGGTCGTATGTACCAGACTATCTCCAGTGCAATATTATATCCTCCTTTTCCTATCATATCTTCACAGCACGGGCATTCATTTATCATCCTTCCTGAGCCTTCCCTAAAAGTATAAACACATGCCAGCCATAGATATTATTATATACATCGATTCAAGTGAAAACACAGGACTATGGCCCTACTCGATTTACCCGTCCTTGACCTATGGGGCTAAGCCCAAATGGCTGCCAAGGTCTCTCGAAAAGAGATATGTAGTACTGATTACTTAGAGAGAGATAGGTCTCGTTGTCAATATATATTGCGGGCTAGGGATAGGAAGGAGGACCTTCTAAGCGTTTTCCTGCTGAGCATCACCGCATTACTGATATCTTCCTCGGCTACAGCTTCACATTAAAGTCGTACGGGATCACTTGGCTTAATAAGTTTGCGCGAAGGTTATTTTCAACCCTCTTCGGTGTCACGCTAATGGAAATCTTCCTTGGACTGAACTGATGCTCTCACACCTAAACGAGTCGCTTGGGTCGGTCGACGCACTGAAGAAACCGCATAATCAGCCACACGACTTTCAAGCAGCTTACAAACACATATGATTACAGGACTTGCTATTGGAAGAACCAAAATTAACAAATTAGAGCTTCGTCGACAAGTCCTTACTTTCATAGTTGTATGGCAGAGACCGTTGAGCTTGGACATATTCCAGCATCTGCTGCCGGTACAAGCGTTGAGCCGATGATGATAAAACTTTCACAGAAGAGGAGTTAAATTAATTCTCGATTCGGATGAAAGGGCAATTCGTCCAAAAATGTTTGTCCAAAAGGATAAAAGAGCACAATTTGTGGGTGGGTGCAGAAAGAAAAACAAAAAGAACGACCGAGACGTGACTCGAACACGCAACCACTGCCACATCCACCACCGGAAGGCAGCGCGCTACCATTGCGCCACCCGGCCGCTTTTGATGAAAATGGGTAAAAGCTTTTGCAATATATGCCACAACAACCTGTACGACCTATGGAAATCAAGCATTTGATGTTCCTCACCATAAGTGGTGTACTTGCTCTCCAAATTAGTGCAAATGTGAGTTCCTAGCAGCTCTCTACGTGGGTCTTATCTAGTTACTATGGTTGTTGTGCTGAAAAATGTGTTGAACCAAAAATACAGTGTCGTCACTGTGCTACTGCTAGTAGTACCCGGTATGTCCAAATATATAATGCGCAGACGGTGTATATGCTGCCCCACCAAGTGTGAGATTGTCGTGCCATTTCCCCAGAGACTGACACTGTCATCACCAAACGCCATCCTCCGTTGAATAATGCCGACCAATAACAGTGTTAAATACTAGAATAACCTGCAACGGGAGACCCTGCGCAGCCTTGAGACCTACCACAGTTGGCAAATGATGGCCCTATATGTCGCAAATAAATACTATGGATGGCCTTCCATGCAGCCCTTTGATTTTACCATGCCACAGTGAACCCCACAAGCGCTATGTGCTTTGCGTCCGATAAACTCGAGCTTAAAAGACACCTGGTATTCGGAGGGAGATCATAGACCATAATCGAAAGCAATGATCCTCGCCTAGGAAGAATCGGTAGGGCTGAATCCCATAAAGCTTAGTATAGACATATCCTGGCCGCACTCTTAGCTCACTGCATCTGTTAATCGATTAGCGAAAACCAATCCTGGCCACGCAAGCATGCCGAGATAGATGTTTTAGGTCGCTCGAAATAGCTGACTTTTATAAGCTTAAGGACCTTTTTAGCCAGTATCAACCAGGGAGGAAACATATCGCACCGTACCATGTTTTAGATACGGCAAGTATCAGTCCCACAAACGGAGTGACCCGACCAGGCCAATTCGAAAGACTAAGAACTGGGGGACCTGGAGCTTACCTAGCTGCATTCACTTACACTCTCAGCCACTAGCCTAATCAGAAATCTTTGTATTACTTTCATCCCCTCACCCCATCCTCGTCAACCCCTCCATCACAACTTCATCACCTCCCCATCACATTTCCTCTCATCCCCCTATTCCAGAACAATCCTATCACCAAGAATCCCCTCCCTAATCCAAAATGACCAGCGACGAACGTCACGAAGAGACCGGTCGTATGTACCATCACGTCCATCGAACGCACGATCATACTAACACAAGACCAGAATTCGGCCCTGTCCCCATCCCCATCGACACTTTGAAAGACTTCTACATGGGAGTCCTCAATAAGATGGAAGAAAGATACCACAAGCTCCCCAAGGCTCTCGCAGTTGAGCTTAAGTTCAAGGATAATGCCGGAGAAGGCCGCTTCTCGCTTGAATTTCTCGTGAGTAACACACCTGCTTCCCTATGAAATAATCAAAGTCTGACATCTTGGACGTGCTAGTTGAGTGCCACCGAGGAGACCACCGCAGAACAGAGAACCACTACCTTTTCCACTATTCTTCATACAATGTCGGAAGAGTCGAAGTTTGAAGGATTGAACATGGACATTTGCGTCAAGTGTATCACTGTCTGAGATGAGCTGTGACAGATGGATTGATGGGGCGGGCTTCATCTACTGAATCGATCACGGATAATCTCGTGTTCTTATGGACTTGTGCATACTTCGGTACCGAAATACTGGCTCAAGAATGGCCATTGGGAAGTGGCAGAGAGTGGTTTTGTCTTTGTGAGGATTGTGAAGCTCTAGGATGCAGGCCATACTAGTGGAGGAACTATCAGCAATACCATATGCCGTCTCTAGCCTGAAGGACGAAAGTTAGTTGATTGATTGAATCCATTCTCTACAGTCTTTCAAGATCACACAGATACAAAAATTGGGATTCTCCCTGGTTGAAGTCATACGTAAGCTTTCCTCATGGAACATACTAGGCGACGACAGGACGTCCATATATCGATCTTAAACCCACAAAATCAACCCTTTTGTTGCAGTCTGATATCCAACTATGTAGTTCACCAGCAAAATACCCATCTTCTCATGCTTAGACAACCCATATAGCACTGATGGCGCCAATGCACTTAACCAGTCGCGGCAGAGTAATGGTTCGATGGCGGACTGAAGATTCACTGGGATACCTCTCCCTCTGGCCTGTAGGACCAACTATCGGTGGTACTCCAGACGCTATTGTTACCGAAAATATCATTTTCATAATTTAAATTCATATCAATGCAGTCGAGCGCCATAGGCTGGGGATCAATGTGTCGTTACTCGGTTAATGGGGTTGTTTTGTTTCATCTAGGTTAGAGCCGATGCACACTCTCTGGGTAGAAATACTTGCGACCGACGAAAAGGCGCGGTAGTCTAATTTCAAACCCTGTAGCTTGAGAAGAAGTAAAAACAACTATATGAAGTGAACACTAATAGAATTAGACTAGAGCATGGCGTAGGTAAAGCGCTAGAGAAAGAAAGTGAAAAAAGAAAAAGAAATCAGATAGCATGTCCTGGTTTCGATCCAGGGACCTCCGGGTTATGAGCCCGGCGCTCTTCCCCTGAGCTAACATGCTGGGTGTTATGAATAATACACACTTTTCTAATACTATCAAGCAAAATATAAGACACACGAAGGAGGCTGGTAAATGGCAACAGCTACATTGACAGGTGGTTGGTGCTGTATACGCGAGAAAATTGGTTGAAATTCTCTTTAACCTTATTATATTGATTGCATCTCATGCTATGGACAATGAAAGTCAGCGCAGTTAACATTTCTGAAGATCGTGGATTTCAAGCTGTACCAAGATCTGGATAGATAGACCCTTGTTGTGGCCCTCGAATCCATCACCGTACGGATGGATGCTATTCGCCTAGATCTATCACCCCAGCTGGCAGGCAACAACCCACGCCCCTTACTCATGATGGCCAGCTGCTGCCTGAACAGCCCCACTACTCTGCGCATGGCAGTAACACCGCTGAGTATAGTCCGAGTGGTGCCTCGCTCTGCCTTAATATTGAGCCTTGCAAATTGGTGCAGATGCCACCATCGACACCATTTAGGTGCATTGCAACGGCGCCATCCATCGCGATCAGCTGACCAAGACTTATTATTCATGTCCCTGTCATTGTTCCTTACCGCTATTTTCTTTAAACAGAGTTCTGTCTTTCTATTTGGGAGACGTTCTTTTCTTTAGACACTGCGAGGAAAACTGCCTATTGTTTACTCTTCGCAATACACTTTCTCCACGAAGCCCGACAGCAGCTATGAAACTTCGCTCATATATCACCTGGTTTAATGATAATGACTACATCGGCTTGGAACTTGCGTTCCCGGGCGGCTCTACCTGGAAAATAGAGAGAAAGATCAAGGAAGCCGAAAACTTGCACACTCAAGGAGAATATGAGATTTGGAAATGTACGTCACAGGCACGAGCTACGTTTGTATGCAGCAAAGTTGCTGGAAATGGTCCACCCACAGCCCTTATTAAGATTCATATGCAGTACGTCTGCCCTACTTACTGTGCATAGATGGCTTAAGCTAATCACAGAATGCAGAATTCCGTTCTTCAAAACTGCTACCGAGGAGCCTTCAGAACGCGCTAAGCAGGCAGACCCTGAAATCCCTCACCTAGCAAGTAGCGAGGTTAAAGCTCTCACTATTCTGACCTAGTCAAAATGCTCTAGCTCACCATATTTGATTGACTCGATGCATCGACAGCAGACTGATGGATGGGTGCCCGGGGGCTATATTCACTATATCGCGATGGAAACGCTCCCAGGTGTAACTGTGTGTGACCGTTATGATGGTATGGAGCGTCAGGAGCGTGATGAGCTGCGAAAAGCATTCAAAAAGGCCTGGATGTAGGTTCTCGAACAAAATTGCCATACAAGGAAGCTGATCCAACCTCGTTCGCATATTCAGTGAATGTGTGTCCTTCGGAGTGGAACACGGGGATTCTGCCTCACAGAATCTTATTTGGGATAGAGAAAGGCAGAAGTGGTCAGTAATCCCCCTTTCTACTCATATATGTTCAGAAACATTCACTATCCCCTGACTTTTGCCAATCACGTACTTATAAGCTGCTTTATATAGTTATTTGATCGATTTCGAGAATTTTCATCCCCCGACTGGCAAGTCTAGTATCTGGCGGGATATCCAATATATAGGATGGCATCTTGCACAAGCCGGCGATGACTATGACTATGATGATATGACGAACTGGATATTATAAGTCACATTTCTGAAAACAAGACTAATGATGAATGATATTCTCACCTCTCTTCCTTCCTTTCATCATATCATTAGTTGATATACACTAGTGCAGAGAAATATTGAACCCTCATTCGCATGCTGCGCTATGCTGCTGCAAGTCAATGCGCGATATTCGTAAGGAAATCAGCTGAGCGATCGAACGAAATGACTGCATAGAAGATGGCAAGGCTGTGGCTTCGACTTGAGAATATGGCGCTTGAACCACGCGCTGTTTAGAAGAGGTCCTGCTAGCGTGCTTAAACCGAAATAAGCTTGCATATTTTCCCTGCTAAACAATAAATTGAGGGGAGCAGATAAGACAGTGTTGAAATGCAGGACGCAATGATCAAAGAAAACGAAAGTATGCACATACCATGGGACTAGTCATTGTCTTAAACGTACGTCAGATTCTCTATATAAATCGTGATAGCTCTGTTCAACCCTTGGCGGTGAATGTTAGTATGATGATGAAGCTAATGTATTTATACACAGGAAAAGAAAACCGAAGGACTAAAATGGAGCCACGTGAAGGCTTGCCGAAAGCTCATCCCCCGCCTTTGCGCTTTTACACACAACAGCCATCAACTATTCTGCTAAACACTCCAATTTTACAACCCGATAACCCGCAAGAGCAGTGAATGCCATTACCCACGGAACCTGGAGTTTGACTAATGATAATCCCCTCCAACATCATCTGGTTCGATGACGGTGATTGGCTGGGACTAGAGCTGTCCTTCCCGGGAGGCACCCGTTGGAAAGTCACAACCAAGA